GTGTCAGTAGCAAATTAATTTTCTTTCCCAGGGCAAGACAACTTTTTCAATGCTGTCTGAGTGTATCTTGTCTCCATTATTCATCAAAACATACTATATGTTTTGAACAAACAACAAAAAAAAAAATAAATAAAAAAAAAAAACAAAAAAAAAAAAAGTGGAAGTGAAAAAAAAAAAAAAAAAAAAAAAAAAAACACCATACTATATTCTGGGGCCAGTGGTATATACGCACACGGCAATCCCATGGGCTGCGGAGGCTGGAGCCGGAGGGTTGCAAGTTCAAAGATTGACCCAGTAATTTACCAAGGCCCTGTATCAAAATTTAAAAAGGGCTGGGAATGTGGCTCAGTGTTTAAGTGCCCCTCCTGATACTAAAAGAAGCACACTATATGTTGCAGATGTAGCTCATTCAATGGCAGAGCGCTTGTTTAACATGTGTGAGGCCCTGGGTTTAATCCCCAGTACTGGGGAAAAAAAAATAAACCTATAAGCCAGACATGGTGGAGTGTAACTATATTCCTAGCTACTCAAGTGGCTCAGGCAGGATCACTTGAGCCACAGGTTCAAGGTCAGCTTGGGTAACAGAGCAAGACAGCATCACAAAACACTATATAGTCTGCAAGTAATAAAATTCACTATGCACATCATGCTCTTAAATAAAGAATTTCTGGGGCTGGAGTTGTGGCTCAGCAGTAGAGCGCTCGCCTCACATGTGCGAGACCCTGGGTTCATCCTCAGCACCACATACAAAAATAAACAAGTGAAATAAAGGTGTTGTGTCCAACTACAACTAAAAAATAAATATTAAAAAAAAGAATTTCTAGAAAGATTTCCTTTATTTCAAAGCTATATTAAGCATGCTTTAAAAAAATAAATTTTAAAAATTGACAAATCAAATTATAATTTGTGTATTTTTAACTTCCAGAACATTCATCACTGTAGAAGCATTCCATTAACAGTGCATAAATTTAAAATTATAATTGGCAAATTGCAATTTTTCTTTAAATATTAACTGTTTTAACTCCACACTCAAGACAACTACAAGGGGAGCATTTCTATTTTATAGCATTCCTCTAATAAAAGATATCAAGAACAGCCTGATGGTGGCAGCATAATACAGTTTCTCAGCAAAGGTATTAAGCTTTTTTTAAGCAACAGAAATAAAACACAATGAGAATTTCAAAAGCAGCATTAAGAAAAGAGTAATTAACAAGAAAATACAGATGATTATAATCGGTCAAAACCAAACATCCTTATCCTAAGAATGTCAAACTTTAAAGATGCTTATATCCTAAGTATAGAAAATACGCACCCAAATTCCTAAATACAGAATTGATCTATTATGAAGAGAAATGAGCAACCACCAGAACACACCACTATACCTTGAATTGTCTTCAAAGGAGATTTAGCTATCAAACACACCAAAAATATTTATACTATATACTTCTGCATTCACTTAACATTTAGTATTGTGTCCCCACTGCAGACAGCCAATGCTTATTTATTGAATGACTGGATGGAGCTAGGAGTATGCTCAGTGGTACAGTACTTGCCTAGCAAACATGAGACCCTGGGTTCAATAAGCAGCATCGCAAATGTTTTTCACATAAATTTGTGAAGATGATTAAATAAGATAGCCCAAGAAGACATTCATGTTCTAGTTAGGCACAAACTGCCAGTGCCTGTTATAATCCCAGTTGTGGCAGGAGGATCACAAGTTTAAGGACAACCTCAACAACTTCTGTGGAACTCTGGCTCAAAATTAAAGGGGGGAAAAAAAACTGGGGATGTAGCTCAATGGTAAAGCACCCTGGGTTTAATCCTGAGTACAAAAAAAAGAAGGTCCATTAAGTCCTTTGTTTTTACCAGTTTATATGTGTTTCAAAAATGAAAAGCAGAGGAAACTTACAAATTTATATTAAACTGGGCAATTTTAGGTATGACTTTACCATGATCAACTCAAGCATGTGCTAACTCCATACTCTATGCCAAGCACTGAGCAAAGCCCTGCAGAAACAATGATAAACAACAGTCCTCCTCTCAGAGCTAATAGGAATAAAGATTTCATAGATGCTGTTCCTATAACAAAAACAAAAACCTCCCCCCCACTACCCAGTACTGGGGATTTATCCATGGGGCTCTTTACCACTTAACCTCATTTTCAGTCCTTTTAATTTTGAGAAAAGGTCTGGCTAAATTGCCCAAACTGATCTAGAACTCTTATCCTCCTGCTTCAGTCTCCCAAGTAGCTGTGATTACAGGCCAATGCACTGAGAAACTTTAAAAAGAAAAAGAAAAAAAAAGGAAGAAAACATGTAGGTACCTGGAACAACAGAAAACAATGTCAAATATCAAACCCCAAGATATATCAATTAACCTGTAGGTTTTTTCCATTCCTTTGTTCTGAAACAGGGTCCTGTGTTGCCAAGGCTGTCTTGGAACTCCCCAGGTTCAAGGGATCTTGTCTCAGTCTCTGAAGTGGCTAGAACTACAGGTGTTTGCCACCATGCCAGGCTTTAGTTTCTTTGTGTTTTTTGTTGTTTCTTTTTTGTTTGTTTTTTAAAAACAGCCCCTTCCCAAGCTAAAGTTATAGTCAAAATTATACCCTCCCCCAAAAAAGGAAAAAGAAAAACTGCTACATTAACACTGTATCTCTTTTCATTATTTTCTCACATTACGTTTGCTCAGCACGTAAATTTGTTAAATACATAATTCTGTAACAAGGGTTCACTTGATGCTTTGACTACATCCCTTGTCACATTAAAACTTACATGGTTTTTTTCTTTCTCCCAACCATCTCCTCCCTGATCTCGCCTTCCTAATGTCATTTTCTCTGAATCACTTCTTAAAAAAAAAAAATGATAAGCAGAATTACAGGCTCTGGGTCAGGAGTCCTCTCAAGACCTTGTCTTCCTTTTTGGATTGGCATCCAGGACGAAGACTGAGCTTTCAGATAGAAATTTACTGGATCCGGGGCAACAAATTCCCACTCACCCAGGAGGAAAGGCAAGGCAATTTCATTAACTCAAAGATCCTAAAGACAGGGCACAGGGGCTGGGGACGTGGCTCAAGCAGTAGCACCTTCGCCTGGCATGCGCGCAGCCCTGGGTTGGATCCTCGGCACCACATACAAATAAAGATGTTGTGTCCGCCGAACACTAAAAAATGAATATTAAAAAATTCTCTTTCTCTTTAAAAAAAAGACAGGGCACAAACTTGTAATCCTAGCAACTGCTGAGGCAGAAGGATCACCAGTTCAAGGTCAGCAACCTGAGGAAAACCTATCTCAAAATGAAAAATAAAATTCAATCCCCAGCACAAAAAAAAAAAAAAAACCTAGGAGGGGCTGGGGATGTAGATAAGTGGTAGAGAACACCTGGGTCCAGTCCAGCACACAATAATATTGTAAAGGAAGGCACAGGGGAATGATGAGTCTAGAACACCATTATTTAGAATCCCTATGAGGAACTAGGAAAGGAGAAACAGGGAAAACTAACAGAGGGAAAAAACAAAAACAAAGTGTTGACAGTAACAATGAATTCTGTTCAGAGATGTAAAGTTGGGGTCGAGATACAAATTAGACAAGAACAGAAATGTCATGTTGGTGATGGATATTCCGTGGCCAGACTATATTTAGGCTGGAGATGATGGATAAAGTCAAGGTATCTTACGGAGCTGTAAAAAATTCTATTCAAGCTGCATCATGTTCATGGTATAGTGGCGGATTGGCTCTGCAAAATGAATTGCAGGAAAGTCCAGGAATTCAAAAGTTACACTCGTTTTATATTTGTAAAGACTCATTAGCACATAAAAAGCAACGGTAGTGCTGCAAACACCTGTAATCCCAACAGCTCACCAGGCTGAGGCAGGAAGCTTCAGAGTTTAAAGCCAGCCTCAGCAACTTAGCCATGCCCAACGCAACTCAGGAACAGCCTGTGTCAACATAAAATATGAAAAAGAGCTGGGAAATGAAAAACCCCAAAATGGTTTGGGAAAATGCCTGGGAAAAGACAGACTCTGGACTTAAGCATTGATGTCTCCCAAAATAGATCCTTTCCAGATGCTGGCGGCTGACCCCAGACCCTCCATTGTCCAGTTAGAGGAAGAGCTCGCCTAGCAAGCATGAGCCCTGGGTTCGATCCTCAGCACCACATAAAATAAAACAAAGGTATTGTGTCCACCTACAACTAAAAAAAATAAATGTTTAAAAAAATTAAAAAGGCTTGGGAGCCAGGCGCCGTGGCACACGGCTGAGGAGGCTGAGGCATGAGGATCACAAGTTCAAAGCAAGACTCCAGTTTAGCAAGACCCTGCCTCAAAATAAAAATTAAAAACGGGCTGGGGAACCCGCCCACGCCTGTAATCCCAGGGCTGGGGCAGGAGGATTTAGAGTTCAAAACAGTCTCTGCAATTTAGCAGGCACTTTGCAACTCAGGGAGACCCTGTCTTGAGCCCCTGGGTTCAATCTCAGGTACAAAATAAATATGTAAACAAGATTTAAAAAGAAAAATAAAACCAACTATATCCTAGTAAAGAGAAAAGATTCGAATAATCGGTTCCATGAATAGGAACTTTAAAATTTTTTTTCATTCCTTCAGATATCGCATTTGAATAGGATCTACAGATTAAAAGTTACCTGAAATTTTTTTTTCTCCATCCAGTGATTGAAAATCAGATTATCATTCATACCTTACATATATCATATAAAGATCGAGAAAGCTGGGCTGAGGGTTGTGGCTCAGTGATAGAGAGCTCGCCTAGCATAAGTGAGGCACCTCCTAAAAATGAAATAGATACTGTATCCAACTAAAAAATAACTATTTAAGAAAAAAAAAAAAAGATCGAGTAAGCTTCAATGTGGCCATCAATGTGTCACAAGAAAGACTAAGAATACTCAAATCTCGTCTTTAATGCTACAACCGTGACTTCTATATGATCGGGAATTTTTACATATTTGCATATAAACTATCTTGGCCTGAGCTGTATAAAAGAATGCTTACAGCAGTCGCTGCCGATCCGCGCTTTGAAGCCGGAATATAACACCTAAAATAGGCTCTTGCGTCCGCGTCTGCATTGGGCCATCCACTCATTTTTCGCAGACCCTCTGGCTTACCCAACCACGGCCAAAGCTCTCTCCTTGGGTTCTCCCTTCACGAGCAGGATGCGTGGATTTGGAAAAAGCAACACTGCTCTGGGCGAGAGTAATAACGCAGCTCCTCAAAGCAAGGGGGGAGAGGACCCCGAGCCCCGACCGCTGGGTTCCAAGACAAAGCTCGGAACCGCCAACCCCGACAAACATACAAAGAAATACAAAAGCTTCTTCTCTCGGGCGGGGGGGTGCGCGGGGCCGAGAGAGGAGAAAAGACGTTACAAACGGATGACAC